GGTAAGTTATGAAGTCATTTCTCAAATGCAAGTTTCAGTCCATCATTAAATAATAACTTGAATGACTGCTCCTCTTAACTCTTAGATTAGAAACATACCTGCATATTCTGAATCTGCAAGTTCCAGTCCTAATCATTCTTTGTTTCAGAGCAGTACTAGCAAAAGTAGTATGTGGCTACTGTCCCTATCAACCTCAATACATATTACAGAAAAAAAAGAGTTATAAAAGGTTTTAATGTATCCAAGTTGTTTTCTCTGATTCAGCAGACTCATGATGTTCTTAATTTTGTTATGCAAAGAGCCAGGCTATGTCTTGTTTTCAAACCAAAACAATAATTAAAATACACAGAAAATAAAAATATTCACAGTATAAAAAATAGCAGTTAGAAAATATACTTTAGAATAAAAATTGGAGCTCATATATTCATGCCTTGTTTCACTGGATAAAAATCCAGATGACTTCACATCAAGATAAAGTTAACCCTTTTCACAGCAATTATCCGTGATACTTTTCATGTTGGCTAACAATTTCTGCATGACCTGAGCAGAAACATGGGCTACTTTTAAAGGCATACAACAATCAAGGAAGATTCTGAGTCATTGAAAGTCCACCCAACACAAGCCTCAATACACTTAGCAACTCACATTTCCTTATAAGAAACCAGTAATGATATTCTGCCTATATCTTCTGCATATTTTTGAGTTGTTCCCATCTGGCAACACAGGAAATATCCTATCACTTCACTTTCAATCTCACGGGTCATATATTCAGGAGAATTAGCAACAGCAGCAACAACATTTGCAAACTCATGTTATCTGCAAGGCAGGGTAAGAACTCCTATTGATTCAGGCCAAAGGTGATCTCAAGTCTCTCCTGTTATTTCTTCTGTTATTTCTGGGGGTCTTTTCATTCAGTACTTGGTGCATCAATGAAATTACATGAGACTGAAATACCATTTGCCTCAGGATTCTTTTGAGCTTAAGATTCCCACTTCTCTGGAGAGGTGTACTGTGAAGCACAAAATGCCTAAGAACAGCATTCAGTCAGGAAAGAGATGATGGTCACTAGTGCCAGTATTCACCTCACTGCTGCGATAACTTGAGGGCGTAGATGACCCCCACAGCATTGAAGCTGAACTTATGAAGCTCAACAACTGTGCTAGCCACAAAAATATCTTTAATAGCCAGCTTTAGTAATGCACTTGTTAAAAAAGAACACATTGTCTGTATAGATCATATACAAATCCCAGCCACCTCCCCAGTCTGTACCTGAAAGTATGAACAGAGTAGCCATAATGCAGCATCCACTTCCCAAAGCTAGGAGAGAAACAAGGCAATTAAAAACGTGAACTGGCCACTTATCTAGCCTTGTTACACTTAGCACCTGCTTGAATGCCTTCTGCCAGCTGAGCAACATCAAGCCGTCTTAGAAATACCCAAGCAGGGGCTTTTGGGGAACAGACAAAGCTCAAGAGGTCTCTGGCCTAGAAAAGAAAATCTAGAAGGTTTCTCTAGTGTTTCAGGAAACTACAAAATTAGTGAAAACCATTAATTGCACAAGTGAGGTTCTGTGGATGAACTCAGTTTCTCAGAAAATTTCCCCAGATTTCTTTAGAAATAATCCAAAGGTCCGAGCAGCCTGTGAATCACAAACACTGCCTGAGAGATGCTATGTCCAAGAGTATGCCATCAACAAATGCAATCATTAGATTTACAAAATAAATTATTTTCTGCTTGGACTTTTTTCTTACTTCAGAGGTCAATTTCATATCAATATTATCTAGTACACAACAGAGTATTATATGCAATGCACTGAGATAGTTTATAAAATAATTTCAAAAGTAGTTTTGCGTCTTTTCTTTTTTTAAGGTCAAATAAATATATATGCAGTCAATGTACAACCATCATAGAACTCGAAAATCGACCAAAGTTGTGACTTCAAGTAAAAAATAATAAGAACAAGTAGCATTTTAAAGGAGGGAAGAAAGATAAACTGATTACTTAATTTTTTTATTTTTCCATCTCTAAGGAGAGTTGATAACTCCTCTTTAAAAATGTCAGCCTTCAATAAATTTACAAATATGCCTGGCTGCAGGTACAAGTGCGATGCAGAAGCTGCAGGATACTGAAGCCACTCCCATAACATTTAAGTGAGGGTGTACATCAAACCAGGAGATTTATAGTAATCCCCTGCTATTAGACACACTTTTCTTGAAAGTGTGAGTTCCCCTATTAGCTGCTCAGCATGGGACTCCATTTACCCTGCAAGTGGTCTGAGGCATGCAAAATGTTTAAATTTTGAGAGAACCACAAACAGCAATGTTTCCAGAGTACAAAACATGACCTATTTTTTTAATTGCTCATAAAACAAGACACGTCCAAAGTGACATGGATACAAATAGCTTAACTTTAACCTGCCTAGAGCCAGCTCTGTAACTCACACACTGTGAGGATTTGGTTGTGAAGCCTCCTCAGTTAAATCAACAATCAGTCAGATGAAAAACTGATGCTGCAGTATCTCACAGACTAGCCTTTCTGAAAAGATGAAACTATAACAACAAGGCCACCTCAGACTTGACAAAGAGGTCACTAGTAAAAAGCATTTTGTCAGCAACTTCAGTACTGCAGTTTCAAATTTCTGGAATTTCTGGAGGCTGCAAGAGTTAAGCCCTTTGAAAATACTTGATATTTTAATATTTTGAGATCTTTCCTTCTTTCCCTCTGTTTCAGTATGTACCTTTCAGCATTACTGACTGAAGAAATATCAGCCTTCTTAGCTCTGAAATTTGAAATCGCAGTAGACTGTGAGCTGTGGTAGGTATGTGCATCTAGAGATTGGAAATTCACCCAGGGAAACCATCTGGGAAAAAAAATCTCCTGATTTAAAAAACCCTGAGTAATTTTTCTCATGGATATGGACTAAAATATATTTGTGCCTTAAGAAGCTTGAGAGACTTTTGTTTATCTGAGATTAAAGATGGTAATCTACAGTCTCAAAACCCTAAATCACAAAAATTTCTCACACTTCTGCTTATAAAAATGTTCTTTTAAAATCTTTATTAAATTAGCTCTGTGGTGGGGTGAATGAACACTAAAGAAGAAGTTCTGTAATTGATTCTGAAGCTAGATTCCAGTCAAAAGATAGTAATTTGGTTAGGTATCAAGACATTTGGTTATAAGGCTTTTATTCGTTATTTACATTTTGGTTTTGTAACATTTAGCTTCGACTCTTTTGAAACAGATTAAACGGTGACTATTTTTAGTGCTTATTCCAACAACTGCAAAATAATCCTTCAGATTTACTAATACCAATCCACAATTAAACAATTTGCAAATGCAGGCTATATACAATTAGTAGGGCTTGCTGAATGAGCTCTTTTCTTCACGTTTTTAAGATTCATGTTTACTTTGATGTGAAGACAGAATAATTTTAGTTTCAACGTCCATTTTAGATAGTGCACTGCTGAAAGCATATTCATACTGCAACCACATCCCATCACTAATGGAGAACTGGACATAGAAGTATTTTCTTCAAACTGACAGATCAAATCTGAAACTGCTCAGAAATGCAGGTTATGAATTTTTTCCATTGTACACAACTCTGTGGCTCCATACTACTTTCAACAATTATAAACAACCAAAAAACAATGTTGACGTAGGTAAGAATTACAGGTACACCTCATCTTCTGACAGTCTTATGTCTGGACAATTACAGCATTGCATTGGCATGTTAAATGGCAACTTACATATTCACATATTAATGTATTCACATCAAGTAGTACATTAGTTTCCATTTTGCTTCTGTCATTAATTTTTTTTTTTAAATCAATGCTTTCAGCTTTTTTCTTTTGCTCTTTGGCTTATCCCAAAATAGAAATCAAAGTTACAAGTTTTTTCTGCTTTGGAATTTAAAAGATAGATATGCAAATGAGGTATAGATGTATAATGCTACTGTTGGGTAGGTCTTTTCTCCTTTTCACTTAATAAAATAAATACTTGTATGCAAACATCAGATCTCACCCTAGAGCTAATATATACAGCTAATATATAATTACTATGGGATCAGATGTGATCCTAATCTAGTAGTAATTAGAGTATAAATGAGGTGGGATTTTTAAATGAACCCTTTCAGTGTAGGCCAGTACAATGTCTCTTAATGTTAGTTCAAGTCCTGTCATTGGAAAGACTCTAAATACAGTAGTATTTTGCTTCCTTAGACAGAGTAAAACCTCTTTTGGCAGAGTACTCTTTCATGAGTAAAGTTTCAGCATTTGAGAAGATTATGAAACTATGTAGGAGTTTAACTACAGTCAAAGGTTCTGAGGCCCTATGAGTGATTTCAGTGTGAACATTGCTCTTCAAGACAGTTACTCTCAACAAGCTTCCCTGAGTTACCTTAGTATTATTCATATATTACTGCATTAATAAATTTGGCTAATATTCCCAAACTGTTCTCTGCGGAGATGTCAATGTTAACCAAATCCAGGGTTCTGCAGAGTCATACACAATGTGGACGTTTGAAGAACAAAGCACTAGCAACCCAAACTCCCTATGCTGCTGAAGAAGAATCCTTTTAATAGCAATCCCAACTCCTTATGCTGCTGAAGAAGAATCCTTTTCAACCACAAATTTAGTGGAAAAGTTTTGGCGCAAGTAGAGACAACAGTTTAATATATTCCTAAACAGCTTAATTGGCTTTGTATAATGATTGCCCTCCTGCTCAGATATTGGTATGCCCCCATTGCTATTCTCCTAACCATGTGGAACACATACTATTCTGCCACATGTTAGATTTCAAACTTTATATTATTTAAATACCATGGCACTGTGTGTTATTAATCAAAATCTCAATATTTTGGAGCTGTTTGTTAAACAATTTTCTAGCATCAAAACCTTACAAAATCACAATCTGAGACACTCAGCTGCCTTGAAGCTCTCTTCAGAGAACACTTCAAAGAGGAAGTTTTTTGTAGAGGTCACTTAACTGTATTCTACCCTATAAATGCAATGAAACATTTTTTGTTTTAAAAATTGGAAGGAAAAAATGTTATGTAATTGTTTTAAATTGTTGGACTATTTAAAAAGTCATGTTAAAATAGTTACATTCCATGATGAGACTAGTCTTATAACTTTTGACATGCATAAGCTATAAAGCATGCCTATTATTAATTTCAGGAATAGTTTTGGATACCTACAGTGAATTAAACTGTCACAGTTGATATAATTATTAAGCAAGATTATAGACCATGCTCGGAAGTTCAAATAGTGCCCATTTCAAAAGTCCCCTCAGTAGTTATGAGTCCAGGAGCAACCTACCATGACTGGTCACACTCCTGCAGCAGGGTATGAAAGCTCTTTTTGTTTAAAGCTTGTTTTCTCAATCCTAGTTACAGCAGAGTGGTGTAAGTGCAAGAGATTTGAGTTGTTATTAAATTTTATGCATCTCATTAACACTTTTTACATGCACATACAACCAATATGGAGCATAAAAGTGGAGCATGTAGTACTTGTCACTCCGTTTCAAAACTTCAGATTTGTTGCCTGTATGAAACAGGCTGAGTAACTTTACTGCAGCAAACAAAATCTAGTGGACAGTGTGTAGATGAACATTCTTAACATTATCAATCAAATTGCAGGTATCTGTAGTACCACTTTCACCTTTTTATATCAAATGATGTGTGATCAAGGACTGTTAGATAAACCCCAACACAGTTCTTTTGCTAAACCAGAAACTCTAACAGACAGACTAATGCTGGACCTGCTGCATTCTTAAAAGTGGAATTAACATTCTTAAAGGAGGAAATACATCAATGCATGTACGCTTTCAAATACACTGTAATGTGGGGGAAATCAATTTACTTAGAGAAATATTTTCAGCTACACATTGGAAAAAAGATCTGAACTACACGGGAAAAAAATCACTCTATTTTGAATTTTAAGTAGAGCAACAGGGTTTGCGATGCTGTTTGCAACACTGCTGTTTTCATGTTCACTGAAATGGTCGATACCTTCACAAACTAAACAGAAGATTTGATCTTAGGGCAGTAGTCTCACTGAAGCCTTCTGACCAGATAACCACTTCATTTTTCAATGTCATTTACACTTGTACAAATGTGGAATATCCTATCTGGAATGAATTTAAACTAGTCTTGTGAATGTAAATTTATGTAAAAGAGTATAGAAATTAAAGTACACTGTTTAGCAATGCTTCTTCCTTTTAAAGATTTTTAAATATTCTTTTTAGCTAGCATAAAGAAAACATGGGCACACATATGCCCACATATGGATGTATGCAGTTACACACCTCCCCTAAAATGCCATATGGGCTGGCTGGCTGCTAGTCATTTCAATCCAGGTAATCAACATAGAAATAACATTTTCTTCTTCTCTGAGAAGTTTTATATAATATGCAAGTATTTCATTAAACCTTCCCTTATTTTGCATCAAGTGCTTAAAAAAAAAATCAAACAACTTACATTAAAACATGGTCCTAGATGATTATAAAATTATAAAATGTGATTATAAAATAAGCCTTGCAAAAATAAATAGTTCTGTCTTTGTTTCCAGAAAAAAGATGGTAGTAGCAGACAAATTATTAAATATAATAATCTGGACATATTTGCCACATTCAGGTGTATGGAAGGCCTGGAAAAGTGGTATTTCTTAGTTGTGCAAATTACTTGAATCCAAAATAAAATCGTCAGTGTTTCTGGGGCAGCATCAATATTTAAAGTGGATTCCTTTTCTTTCACTTTTTCCAACTGTTTTTACAGTAACTTTTGTTTGATAGTGATAAACCACTCTCATCTACAGCATTTACCTTAAGAGTTTAGTAAAATACGTGCTATAGAATAGAAGAAAAATACTGACCTCTTAAAGGCTTTACACCTCCTTTCTCCCTCCTTCTCCTTTTCTTTTTTCTTTTTCTTCTTATTATATCTACGTCTCCAAGGTCTGTCTCTTGGTGCTTGGTACGCTATCACTGTGTTAAAGGCGAATTTTTACAGTTCAATCTGAGATAGTTTTTCCAGGGCGGGTCACATTCTGTTGACAGGTATCATGTGCCTTGTCTCCTAGCAAAATCAGTTTGGAATCTCATCCTAACTGATATTTGCTCTTTGGGGATGGATAAAAAACCCACAATGTGTTCTATAAAGCTCAAATTTGCCTTAGCAAACAAAACATCTGCTAGATTTGTGAGTGACTTGTGACAGCAGGAGACATCAGCACTGGCCTCCTCAACAGAAGACACTGCTATTAATGGAAGCTATTATGGAAAAATTCTGGCAAGAATTTTTTTTTCCAAACAGCTAAAAAAAATTAAAGAAAAAATATGTTATGTTGTTATGGTAACAGCTATTTGAAAAATACTGTAACAAAAGGCAATCTAATATCCAACTACCAAGCTGTTAGTTTGACTATTTGGTTTTCTTTTTAAGCAGTTTATTTACAGAGATCCCCTCCCTCTTCCTTATGCAGTCACAAGTGTGAGTGTGCATGCTTAGGTAAGACACCATCTGCAAATAATTGGTGTTTGTAACATTTCAGTCTTGGAGCTGCAAAATTCCAGATACTGCAGATTTTTGCACATCACTAGAACATCCAGTTTTATATAGGCTGAGTCACTCCCTCACATGGCAATAAACCATATTTTGTGGCATTTCCAGCACGCACTTCTGGCACAAAGAGGTGTTCCTGTGCTCCTCATGCTTCATGGAATGTGGCTAGTCAATTTGTGGGGACCACAGCTACTCCGTGGAAAAATGCCATGTCACATCTTGGTGGTCTGGAATCAGCACCCTCTCAAATGCTGGGAAAACAAGGTTCCCAAACAGTCTTAGGAGTTAAAGCAGCATGCAACATACCTTTCCAAAGCCTGCAATTGTATTTTGTACATTACACCTTTTTGGCAAAATTTCTCTGAATAAGCACAAGCTTCTAGTGCACTAACTTCTATATTTTACTTTGAATAGGAGCATGTAGTCCTCACTCAGATAAAGCTTCTTTTGAAGTTACAGCATAACAACTTGGGTAATGACTGAAAGGTCTGGCTACTTGATCTTACATATCACATGTACAGTGATAATACGAAAGAGCTGGAGGACACCACCAGCTCCTCCTCTTAGACCTGTGCTTTCAGCCATGATGTGTACAAAAAACGAGACAAACAGCACACATTTTTGTGGTACTTGTCTCAGACTGAACAAACCTTGGAGCTTTGCTAAATGTCCTCCAAAATCCATAATGGAGGATCAAGTTACACTGTGTTAAGTACTGCATAGGAATTGTGAACATCCAATTTCTTAATATGGAGATGAGATTTTAAAAATGTGAAACTTGCACTTTGTTTCACTGCTTTCAATCCCCCTGAGATGTTTAATGGTCTGCCCTTTTCATCCATTCACCCAATTTCAATTAAAGTAACTAACATGGTTTATCTATAAAGATTACAAATGCAGAGGTGGAGTGATACAAATTTTGGCTTCTAGTTGTTTTGCTGTAACTGGGAATTTTGCAGTCATGTTGTTTTCCAAAGAGACAAATATTTTTAGTGTCAATATTACAATTTAGCTATGTTCGTGTGCAATAAAAACCATGAGAAATATCAGATAACAAAAATCCACTACATCTTATTTTGCATCGTTTTGCAAAAGAGAAAGTGAGTTATGGGTTCTCAGTGACAATCCAAATTCAGCAACAATGTGCTGTATAGGTCCTACTGACACTCATCTGCATATATGGGAATGCATTTAGAAACTGAATGCAAGTGGAGGTATTTTCTGAACACCCCCCCCCCAAAATCCCTTGAGCATTTCAGACATTCCACTCAAAGTGATTCTTTAATGTGGGACCTACTTACCGCATTTGTTTTACATTAGAAAATGCTGCATAGGTTGTTTACATATGGAAAAGTCAGTGGAGAGAGATTTCTGTAACTGTTCAGAAAGAAAGACTGCACTGTTACTGTAACAAGGACAATTATGGACAGACACAGGTAATAGCTGTTTAGAAAATGTTAGAAGCATTATTGTGGATAATAGACATTCCTTTCTTAGCTCTGCCCTTGCCCAAATTTCATTTTCTGTTGTGGTGTCCACCTAGATTGCTTAAGACAGCTGTAGTCTTCTCATTTACATTAAGGTAACAAAAAGTTGACTGCTGAGTTGTCCCAGGTGGAGTTCATCTGTACAAAGGCCTGAAACTGTGAGGGAATACCTAAAATGTCAGATATGTCCAGTACCTAGTGCTGCTGCAAATTATCACCTCTTCCAGGTCACAAAGGCCAAAATAATTTCCAGCTCTATTTTTCTAAAAGCCATTTTCATTTAATCTGTCCTTTACAAATGGTAAATTTAATGAGAACTTCAGGAATAATTCAAACTAAAATTAAGAAAAAATACCTTGATATATACATAGGCAATTCAGATATATTTTAGTAAGCAACAACCTGGCCACTGTTAAAATAGTTCTCAAGTACTATCGAAATAATAAGTATGCTCGCAAAGGAAACCTGCTTGCTTTTAAAGTGACTGTATGCATTATTACAGCTTCTTCTGATAATAGCACATTTAATACCAAGGCTAAGATGCAATCAATCTTTTTTGTTGGAAGAAGGTGTTATATTGTACCCGTATGCTTACACTCACCTAGGAGTTTCAATCCACTAAATTAATCCAGCCTGAGGTTCAGGAGGGCTGTTGCTTGCTTGGCCTCCACTGTATTCTTCTTGCTGGCTTTGCAGAGCAGCAGAGAGCAAAGGAGGTGAGAGTGGGACCAGGGAAAAGGAAGAGGTCTGTCTCTAAAGAGACACTGAATTAGACTGGAGTGAATAGCTTATGTCCTCTGTAATTATACACACATTGAACCCTTTACAGTTGACTTAAGTTACTTCGAACTGCATTGGTGTGGCCCTCCATACTGATTAAAAGCAGCATCTATTTACCTTAACAATAAATGTGGAGATTAGTAAAAGTTCACTTGATCATAATAAGAAGATAGATAATTAAAGGGCAATGCAACCCAGTTGGAACGTAAGGTACAGAAGCAGTATATTAGGAAGCATAGGCTGCTTTTGTACATGTGTAGGTTAAGGACTGCAGAAATCCCTTCAAGTAGACAGTTTTTATAGCGATACTTAAAGTAGAGGAAGGCCAAAACATGTCCTGAGCAGGCTGGCCCGGCAATTCTCCTAGGCAAAGTGACAAATACAAAGCTCTCGTAAAGGAAAAAGACTTTAAAGCACAATGTGACTAAATGGACCATCTCTACAAAACCTTTGAAAGAGGCCTCCACATCTTTTATTCTTCTTTGATGTCTCCTCCATGATAAGGAGCAAGTTTAAGGTAAGCAGGACACACTGCTGATTCTGTAGGTTAAGCTCTTGATGGTGCAGAGTCTAGGAGAAAAGGAAGAACTGGGTTTAGTATGTGACAGACTCAACAGAAACTTCGCATTGTGGGATCTTCTAAAGGGAAGGGGGAGGACACCTCCTATTCCTATTGCAACTATCTTTCGGTTTTACACTGTAGAAGTGTTTTACTAACCCCTTTCTATTAAGGAAGTAAGCAGCTAATAACTAAAGAAGTGAATAGTATCAATCCCATATAGACAACTTGGAAAAGCAGCAAGGGCTGTATCCATGTTTTGTAACAAAAGGGTTGTAACCAGGACTTGACAGCATCCCTTGTTTCTCTTCTTTGTACCGATATTGATGCACTGAATGCTTACCTCCTCACAGAAAATTATGTGATAAAATGGTGACTTTTGACAAGCTCTGCAGCAATTTCCAGAGACCAGACTGTTGCTAAAACACAAATGATAGTTGGTACCTTAAATTAATAACATTCTCTCTCGTGTGATATTCCAAAATAAATTTCCAGCTGAACCAAGACTTACAGATGTTTTGGCTTTTTTTCTAACAAACACTGTTACCATTTACACTGGTCCCATCAAAGTCACATTTTAAAGAATGGCTTAGCTCATATGTGTGGCGTTTTGTTTCTCAGCAGTTTTAATTTTGAGCATGTCAGAACTGTTTAACACTAAGCCAAAGATTCATTCAGTCACTTGGTAGCTATTGAGAATAATTTTGCAGTGCTAAGTAGCAAGGTGAATAATGTTAGCAAAAAGGTAAGGAAAATGCAAGAAACAGAGGCTGTCCATTGAATGAATGGCAAATCATGGTCCCATTCCTTCTGACCTGAATCTCTGTACCCCTAATAAATTATTGGCAAGCACAAAGTCACCAGCCTCTCCCAGACCTTTACTTTGAGGTTGCCAGGAGCTGGGAGGAATTACGCAGGCGTGAGAGTTTCCCTGGGTCTTCTGAAAGAAGGCTAAGAAAGACAGACCCAAGGCCTACAGGGTAGCAGCTTCGGCTTTCATAGCAGCTGTTATTTTGTAGTTTCTTCGTTGTAGAGTGGTTAGAATAATCATCCATGGTGTAGAAGACTGCACACAGCCTGTTCCTCCATCAGCTGGCACATCCCAGCCAGCTCTCCGCTCCACAGCGGTCTTGGAACTTCCAGGGGCTCATGCATGGTTCTGTGTCCACAGTGTCATTAAAAGGCTACAAAAAGCTAACCAGCACTTTGTTGCACCTATGTGTAAGCCACAGCTTTCCTCCTTGCATTGCATATGCACAGCAGATTAGTGTCTTGTTTAGGAAGCAGTCACAGATCTCTTTGTTTCCTTCTTTCAGGTACAAGGTGAATTAATCCATTTGGAAACCAGCAAATGCTCCCCTCCCTTCCTCTCCCACAAGCCTGAATTCTTCCACCCTACATTTCTTGACAATAAAGACAGATAAAACTCAGATGCCCTACCAGAGGAAGGAATTGAGCCTGTTTCTTTGCATGTAAGTTTTCTAAATAAGTCGCTTTTGTTGTTTAAAGCTGTGATGAATGGAGACAGAGGGCCAGGTTGGTCGCTGGAACAGTACAATGGATGTAAGAAGGTTTTTTTCTTTGCCATATAAATCATTCACATTGTTTAAGGTACATTGATCAATCTAATGGCTTGTAATAGGCTCCTAATTGCCACTAGGAAAGTATTGCAAGCTTGCATTTGAACGTGAAATGGTTCATGATCTGAGCTGAAATTCACCTTAAGCTTGAGTTCTAGTAATTACAGAACACAGAAAGAGCACAATGAACGGTTCCCCGTCTTTCCTCGCCCTAATCCCAGGACAGGGTGAGAGTGGAGAAGGGAACATCAGAATGGGGGATCCAGCGTATTTTCCTCTGCCAAAACAGCAGTTCATTAACGGGCGAAAGCTGCAGGAGGATTTATTGGTCATTGTGGACCGAAGAGAACTTTGTAATGTCAATCATCCTGCCTATTACGCTGCCACATATCTCTATCTGCAGATAGACAGCTTGCTTAATCACAACCAACATTCTGAGTCACGCCTGGCTAAAAACGTGGTATAAAAAGCTAGGAGGGTACCAGAAGCGGGATGCCATGGGAAACGCGGGGACAGGACTTCTCCGTGATGAGGTTGCTCCGGTGAGGCACCCGCCCGTTCCCCTGCCCGCCCGCCCGGTGCCGCCGCTTCCCGCGCCCCGACTGGCGCCGCCGGGGGAGCCGCGGGGTGGAGGAGCCGCGGGGCGCAGGAGCCGGGCGGGCCGGGGGCGGCCGGGGCGGGCTGGGCGCTGGCAGGGACCGCCGAGCCCGCCGTCCCGGCCGCCGCTTCCCTGCTCACCGCACACACCTCATTACCGAGTCAGCAGAGCCGCTTTAATGGACTTGTGTGGAAAGGCGGTTTTCCGCTCTATAAACGTTGGGTCCCAGCGTTTACTAATTAAACTCCTTCTATTTAGAAACACCTGCATTTTAAGAAAGCTTTCTGAACGCTAGCACTGACTGAATTTCCAGCCTGCTGCAGTCTGAGCTTGTCATGCCTAACCCATGTATCATAACAGCATTGGAGAGCATGTGAACCAAGAGATAAAATCCTCGTACAATACTCCTCGCACAACGTTCCTCAGACTTTCCTACCAAGGCAGAAAACAAATCTATGATGCTGTTGAATAATCTCCCAATAATTGTAGTAATTAAAATCATCATCCAGTCTGCAGTCACCTTCCTTCCTTTGACACTAGTCTTCCCTTGAATTGTTAACGTGTCTCCGGCTGAGATAAACAGAACAAGGGAGCTTTAAAATACACGGTCCAAATAAATTTAGCGGAAGAGAATTAGTTCCACAGACACGCTTTTGACTGCGTTCAGTAGGCGACAGGATTTCTAAAACTATCATGCAGATTTCTCAAATGCAGGGTAATATGGGTCTCCCTGCTACTCTTAAATAGTGTCACCTTAAAGATCGAGGAGAAGATGAAAGCCCAGCCTGGTGCTCCACCTCGGGGCTCGGTGTGCTGGGGGCAGGAGGAGAGGGGAGTGCACCATGTAACAAACATCTTATGAAAGATCAAGCAGAAATTGTGGGAGAGTGCCATAATTTTAATTTAATTTCCATGATCAGTTTGATCCCAGTGCTCATTCTCTTTTTATTAACTATAAAAGATTTCCTTCTAATCAAAAGCTGCACTTCATCTTTACCCACAAATGAAAAACTCTATAGCAGAAAGAATTCAGTGGACTCAACAGGCACCACGGTCTGTATTTTAACACTATGTCTATATATCCTTCCCCCTTTTAATGTCTAGTCTTGGGCAGAATATAGTGGGGAAGCCTTAACTGAAGTTATTAATTTATCACCAGGTATCCCTCTGCATTGCTCTGATAATCAATGGTGGTTTCTAGATCATGTAAATGAAGAGTGTAATTGGGGGGGGAGGGGGTTTCGCACGGAAGTCCTGTTGACAAAAAAAAAAAAATCTGGCAGGACGCAATTATTTATCTCGGCAATGAGCAGTTTGCGTGTTTCCTGCCCACGTCCCTTCTGTTTGACAGAAAATGAGGCTGCTTTCTTGAACTTGGAAGGGTTTGCCCCTTTCCCACCCGTAACATCCATGAGCAAAACTCCATGCCCGTCCTAGGATTCAGGAAAAATTGTACGGCAACCTTACATTTAACTGCTATTAAATCGATTTATTTGGAAAATATTTGGCAGCTCTTTTCCCGAGCTCTGTTTGAACAGAAGAGTCATTTCATCTGATGTTCTTGAATATAAACCCAGGAGCTTCCCAGCCATCTTTAATGAACGAATTGTTTCCCAGCTCTACCTCCTAAAGACAGCAACTTTAGTAGTTGCACAGATCAAAAGACACGCGTAGAGAGAAGATGGGAAACAATATTGTTCAAAGGAAGTGAACTGTTGCATTTAATTAGGCTATTCTTTATTAGTATTCATATTGAGATTTTTTCCTAAGATTTATGTTGATTTAACTGTAATGTATTTATGATGTAAATATATTCCGAGATGAAAACGTCACGGATCAATTGTAAAGGACCCGGATACATAATTTTAAAAAATCAGTTTCAGTTTATGTGAGGTTCTCACCCCACTTTCGCTTCTTAGTCAGATTTGTTTATGCAGAATCGACATTTAATAGTGCTAATTGCACTCCAGTTAAATTGCCCTGATTGCAGAAAGGGAAGCAATTTTCGTGCTCTCTGTCTGGGTTTGGAAGAAATTGTTTTATATTCACCTCTTTATAAAGAAGTGGAGATAAGGCACCGAGCCTTTGCACAAATTGCACTTATGGGCTGACTGGCAGCATTCAGGCTTTATAATAGAGCATTATTTGGCCGTTTTGAATAATGTAAAGCATTTGCTGAAAGCTATTCTCCTGAAAATTGCTTTAACTTTTAAAAGGGTGATGATTCACTCCAAACCAGGCCTTTGTTACATTGTCATTATCCCCCCAAATGTTTTAACAGTCAGCTCAACACTTTAGCATAACACATTGATCTTTGTTTAAAAACTCGATTTTTGGAGCATGAAAAAATCTGTCAGAAAATACTTGACCCCCTAAAGATTTTAGCAGCGTTACCCCTTCCGCCGCCATTCCCTCAGCCTTTCCACCGCCTGCCTCGTTCCTGCGGGTTTTAGTTACTTTTCCGACTACAAAGGGGCGAGGAGATGGATGTGCGGCAGGCAGAGCCGCCCGCCTGCCTTCAAGCACAGCAGAATCCCTACTTTGCTGTGGGAGCGCAAGCGGGCAGCGGATGCCTTTACTCGCTGATGTAGAGGCAACATTTTTAAACGTCACTCTCTCGATCTGCCTTCCAGACGTATTTTATTGATGACTTTCCCCAAGATAAGAGGAAAGACCCTCTCCCCCCGCCGCCCTGGGGTTGGCCAGAAGCGCCGCGCTGCTACTTGACGACCACCACGGAAGGCTCCTGGGAAGGGAAGGAGCGGGTTTCCCCCCGGAGGAAAGGAGGAAGGAAAGAAGGAAGGAGGGAAGGAAGGAGTCACCTGTTGGGCGATGGCTCCCGGGTGCCCCTGTCGGACTCCTCGCCTCGCCCGCGGGGGTTATGTCGCTCCCCCCGCCACCGCCTTTCCGCCGCCTCCACCCGCCGAGCGCTACAGCCCCCCTGGGTCCCAGCCGCCGCTCAGGATCTGCTCGGGGCAGACCTTTCGGAGGAAGGGTTTACCATGCACTCCCCGGACCCCTGCGCCGGCTGCGAGTCAATGTGGAAAGAATTAAGCGCAGAACAGTATTTCCTCCTACTGCCCCGACTCTGTTTAATACGTGGCGACAAAAAGGCGAGCGCCCTTTGAAAATAGCCTTAGACGTTTAAATAAAAGATAATCTCCAGGGGCATCCTTCCCTAGCGTGGC